AAGACTAAAGTTGTCCATCAAGGATAATCTGTTGTTCATCTCATCAACAATCTAAACTTATTTTGACCTGGAAATTCTAATTGTCTAAAAGATAACAAATTGTTATTAAAATATGAACTTTTGTTTGGAAGGCGATTTAAGCCATTTTAAGATTGTCCAATAAGCATAGAAGATAATTTTATTTATATTTTAATCTTTAATTCGTCGGAAGATTCAATAACGCCATCTGTTGTTTCTGAGAGATGAAATAAAAAATGAAATTCATTAGTTCTTGGAAAACAGAAAAATCTCTTGTAATCTCTTGTAAATAGTCATTCAGTAGAAACCTAATGATGTACTTTGAATCCTGAATCCATGTGACATTCGTCCTGCTATCCATGAGAGATGCGATAATTTCTGGAAAAATTTCCTCCACAATTGTACGACGTCCACTAATCATAATCAGTTCACATTCAAGTCTAACATTTAAAGATATACATTGAAAATCAGACTCAATGGGATCCGAAAAAGATGAAGATGTTGGACTCATAGTGTTAGTTGAATTGGTCATAAGAGTCTGGGTCACATTGGCAGAGGCAGTAGTATTTGTTGAACCGATAGCTTTAATTCGTTTTTGTCAATTTTGTAATTCGTCAATACGATTTTGGCGAGCGATCGTCTGACCTAGTAAAACATGATTGACTTTAACAAGATGGAAAATTGAAAGGAAAACAAAACATTTTCCAACAGTTCTCTGAATTTTGGCCATTGTTTTACGAAAAAGCGCATGTATTTTCTCAATATAAGACTATTTCTAGTTAAGCATCAAAAATTACATAGTTAAAAATGACTTTCATTTAAAAATCTAGTTTCATAATTGAAACATTGTACAAAATACGAAAATTAATTTTTTTGTAGTTCTTAAATTAATTGTCAACCAACTTGGTTGAAGTAAGTTAAGTTGTTTGTCAGTTTACAGAGGCTGCCAATAGTCTTAAGCCGAAACATATGCAGTGGCTAAGTTCGGATTATAGCTTATACGGATGTTTCTACAGCTTTACCTCTTAATAGTTATTAACAGATAGGTATATTTTACTGACAAGGGAAGTAAGGGATATGTAGTAGGGTTAGAATCTGATAAAAAGTGTATAATTTTATTGATCGTGAATCAAGATGAAAATAGTTGGCTACCGTAGAGAGTTGAGAACGCAATTGCTCTTCTTTACCTTGAAACCCGATCCTTGCTTTTCAAAGCGCATAAAGCCATAGTGAATATAATCATGAACTTCAACTCGCGTTAACCTTCCGACCCTTATCATCTATGATTTTTTTCTCAATACTCAATCTCAATTACTTATTCAAATAAGATAAAATTTTGCTTGTGAGTCGAAGGTTGTAGTCGCCAAGTTTCGGTAAAGTTAACCTCAATGGTAAGTTGAAATTGTGTAGCTTACCACAGAGGTAAACTTTTCATTTGCTGATAAGTCAATCTTTATGATTATATTCACTCTGGCTTTATGCGCTTAGAAAAGCAATTATCGAATTTCGAGGTAGAAAAAGACAATTGCGATCTCTGCACTGTTACTCTTTTTGGAATACACTAGTTTAACGAATATCTTTTTTTTGAAAAACGCCATCTCATAATGAAAATATCATATCTCTCTAGTAAATACTAGTTGCTGAGTTATAAACACGCCAATGTAGGGATAGTTCATCCGAACACCTAGTATATGTAAGATGCTTAGTAAGCTTACCATTGGTAATATAGTAGACGGCACTGATCAAAAATTAACTTAAGCGCGAAACTAGTGTAATTTATTATGCAAGTGGAACATGGATGCAAGTTGAATTCCGAATGGACACGAATATGGTTCCAATCATGGTAATGGTTGAATTGAGAGTTATGATGAGATTGTCTATTCTCACATTGGGTTTTAAATTCCATAGTAAAGATTAAAATTTACGAATGTCCGAAATATGTTTCTTCCACTCGGGTAAGGAAGTGGAGCCCTTGTTACTCTCGATACTTCAGCATTATGCATGCGATCAGGTTTAGTAATACAGTTTACGGCTAATGATGATTACCTGCATTGAAATACAAAAATTAACAAAAAATAGACTGAAAAATTTACTCAATACACAATTTAGAAAAGTAAAATGTTGAAAGTTGTGAGATTATGAGTTGATTTTGGATGAGATTTTTGGGTTTGTTTACAAATGAACTTTTTCGATAATATTGTCACTGATTAAAATAATGATGGAAGGTGAATCAGAAGAAACTGATAGTACAGTGGTAACATAACATCAAATGTGTAACATTAATTGTTTTAAAATAATGGCAATTGTAAAAGACAGTTGAACATGAGCGTCTAAAGCTGTTTGGTTCATTTTAGATTTGAATAGTTTATTTAACCTTTAGTAGAAGAAACTTACAATACAAAATTTTGATTTGAGAACCACATTGATTATGTTGAGTCTATCACATGATGAAATGATTTTATCAGATTCTAACAGTAACACTTCCCTCACTTCCTTGTTAGTCCAATCTGTTATTCACAGAGAACCTTCGATTAATAATCAACTTCGATAATGGTTACAGAAATTGTATTAACCAATAATCTACGATGGTTGTGATCGTGATCATGGTAAACGAAATTCAATAAGTGCATGAATTTCCTCAATTTTCGTGAATATTCCCACCTTGAAGCCAAAGTGGATGAGCAAGGTTTAGCTAAAAATATCAGAATAATGAAAATATCAAAGTATTTAATGCAAATATTTAACTCAATTTATGATCAAAACAAAAGTGCTAATCTTCACAGGTAACCAACTAATATACTCATATTATCGCGTGTTTTTGATAAATTTTGTATGCTAACAGAAAAAGAAAACTCAAATTCTTATCAAGAAAAGCATTGATTCGCAAAAAAAATCAACTTAAACTTAAAGTTCTCTAACAGTATCATTGCAATCAAGAAGAGATGGTTTGAGGTCAAAACCGAGAAGGACAAAACAGCGAAAGACAAAATAGCGAAAGCGAAATAGAGAAAGTCAAATCCGCGAAAAATATCGATGCACATATTGCTATATAAAAGCAAAAATTTTCATTTTTCTTTTTTAATCAGTTCGTAATTAGCCATGATTGAGGCAACAATTCGATTGGTAAAGATTGAATGAAAGAATAAAAAAATGCAAACTAAATGAAATAGTTGAGCCGATTCAGTTTATGACAATCAAAGCATTGTGTTTAATTTTCAGAAAAACTTTAATCAGTTTAATTATTTAGCTTCTTATTTTTACCCTTCGCTATTTTGCCTTTCTCTGTTTTGACCCTTTACCCTAATGGTTTTTGGTACGAAGAATGAACATTTTCCACAAGTTCCAAAGGAATTTATGGAATGGAATCCAAGGGAGCCTCATTGTTTTGACGCTTCGGCAGCGAAGACTCATTGGTTACTGCATCCATGCTGAGTCTTTTTCTGATTCTCGAACCTCTTACATTAATCTCGGCTGTCTTTTGCGGTTGCAATAAGGTAACTGGCAGTGGCGTAGACTTTTGAGGTTTTTAAGTCGATGAGATGGCAGGCTCTTGCGGTAGCTGCATTTTCATTGAATTGTAATTTACGCGATGTTCATTAAATAAATATTTGATAGCGACAGCCTGATTTTTTCAGGGTACAGTTGTTTTACTGGTTGGAAATGTGTTTCTGTCTATGTGAAATTGTCTGATTCACAAATATTAGGTTTTCCTAATCTAGAAAAAAACTGAAGGTTTCTCCATTTTTGAAGACCTGGTTACTTTTGTTCGATAAGTTAAGATTTTACTATTTAAAATGGTCTTTTCTGTTAAATCATCATAAATCTATCTTTAAATGAGAAATCGCATGAAATGAAAATCATCGAAATCAATTAAAATAATATTAAATTACAATACATTGAAAAGTAGTCAAAAAAGTCTGTTCTAATGTTTATATTAATTGTTTTAGTTTAATTTCAATTGATGAAAAGAAAGAGAAATGATAGAGAAAAAGAAAGTCTCTTTCTCGCACCATCTTCTGACACCAAAAAAAATTTCTTTTACAATATGTATTGAATACATTGTAATCTGAATTTCATGAATTTCTGTCTCTTCTTCTTCCTTTACTCTTTGCCTTGTTGTGTTGATACTGAATATATCGATGTGAATATCGATATGACATTTCGCGATAGTATCGACAAAAATATTACAGCCACAGTTAAGTCCTGAATTTGGCTAACAGTTAAAGGTTTATTTATTAACTAATTTTACTTGCTGCAGAAAGATTCTAGACTAAAATCAATTATTAACTCATGCTTCAATTAGAAAATTTAATTTTCAAAAGTTCAATTAACTTTCCAAGTTGAAAATTAAGTTAAAAGTTGAGTTAGAAGTGAAATATCATCCAATTTAAATTTTCCTGATAAAATTTATCAAATTAATTGCAAATCATCAAAATGATGCAAATTATGTGATATTTAATCAGTGAATTTCTTAAAAAAATTCTCATTTGCAATAATCATTAGTGTTTTCCCTTTTCTGGAATAAAAGTGTAATATTGAAAAATTAATTTTCGAAGCTCTTGGTCTTACTATTATTAATAGTTCAATTTGGTCCAGAACTGTTCGGAAGCTTTCCGATCTGCTGTAGTTTTTTCTTGGTGAAAGAGGTTATCGAAAGCAAAATTTTAGTTGATATTTCGGATGAAGTTTTTACGATAGAACAATTAGCGAAATAAAAAAGCACTGCAGTGTAGAGAATCAGATAAAATCGGACTTTTATTCAAATAAACTCTTTGGTAGATTAGGCATTTGAAGATAACCTTATTCAAGTGATTCTGGTCAAGTTCTCGTCGTTTGAAACTTGAACTGTTTGGATCAAAAGTCTTTTAATAGCTTTCAGAAACTATCTTCAGCTTACTTGCACCCTTCTTATGAAGTAACCAGTTACTAGTAACCATCATTGACTATGAGTCACTTGAGCTGAATATTTTTTGGCTGTGAGTGAGCTGACTGACTGGCTGGCTTAAATTCACTGGTTCAATGTTTCATCGACTACGCTTGACAATATATCTTTCATTGGATATTTTTTTAACGACACCTGGATCTGAATCGTTTAAGATAAACCTAAATTGATTAAATTTTGTAACACTAAAAAACAGGTAAGTCCTTTAAAGCAATTAATTTTTGACTGTCTTTTCAATATTTTTTCTTTTTCTCAAGGTATCCCATGATCAAGATGAATTGGTTAGGTGTTGTAATTCTACTATCACTTAACCTGGTATGTTGGTGTTTTTATTTACCAGGCCTAGCTCCAGTCAATTATTGTGAAAAAAGTCAAGCTACGGAGACTTGTAAATCTGAAGTTAAGTTATATGTTAATCGTTTGGACTCAGAAGAATCTGTCATTCCTTATGAATATAACCGTTTCGACTTCTGTCAAGCTCATGACAAAGATTCTCCTGTTGAAAACCTTGGTCAAGTTGTCTTTGGTGAGCGCATAAGATCATCTCCATATAACATTTCATTCCTTAAGAATGAAGATTGTAAACTACTCTGTGTGAAAAAATACGAATTTGGTAGTAATGCTGACTCAGATGAAGAGAAATTAAACTTTCTAATGAAAGGGATGCTAAAGAATTATGAACATAGTTGGATAATTGACAATATGCCAGTTACTTGGTGTTATCCTGTTGAAGACGACCACCAATATTGTTCAGTAGGATTTCCAATGGGTTGTTATGTTGATAGCCAGGGTAACCCTAAGGATGCCTGTGTTATGAATCCTGCTTACAAAAAAGCAGACACATTCTATTTATTCAATCATGTTGATCTGCAGATAACTTATCATTCAGGGGCTGATGAAGCTTGGGGCGGTGGATTTGGCAGCAAAGGTGGACGAATTACCCGGATACGAGTAACTCCTAGAAGCATAAAACATGTAGTCTCATCTGATCCTAAAAATCCAATTGACTCAAAAAGTTGTGGCTCTAGTACTACTCCTATGGAAATCAAAGCAAGACATCCACGCAACGAACCCATCACTATCTATTACACGTATTCAGTATTGTTTATGGCTGACAACTCAATAAAATGGTCTTCTCGTTGGGATTATCTTTTAGAATCAATGCCTCACACAAACATTCAATGGTTCAGTATCTTGAATTCATTGGTAATAGTATTTTTCCTCACCGGTATGGTAGCTATGATCCTGTTGAGAACCCTACACAAAGATATCGCAAGGTATAATCAAATTGATTCAGAGGATGATGCCCAAGAAGAATTTGGTTGGAAACTAGTTCATGGAGATATTTTCAGATCTCCCCACCATTCCATGCTGTTGTCTGTTTTTCTTGGAAGTGGAGTTCAAGTTTTCTGTATGACAATAACTACTCTATTCTTCGCTTGCTTAGGATTCTTGTCACCTGCAAATAGAGGAGCTTTAATGACTTGTGCGATGGTCATGTTTGTGTGTTTGGGAACTCCAGCAGGCTATGTTTCTGCTCGTCTGTATAAAAGTTTTGGTGGTTACAAATGGAAACTGAATGTACTTTTGACAGCTCTTCTCTGTCCCGGAATAGTATTCTCAATATTTTTTGTGCTTAACCTGCTTCTTTGGGCTAAAGGTAGTTCGGCAGCTATTCCATTCACCACCTTAATTGCTCTTCTTGCTATGTGGTTCGGCGTCTCTTTACCTCTAACTTTTGCTGGCGCATATTTTGGTTTTAAAAAACGAGTAATTGAACATCCAGTTCGTACCAACCAAATACCCAGACAGATACCAGAACAATCGATATACACGCAGCCCATACCTGGAGTGATAATGGGAGGAATCTTGCCTTTTGGATGTATATTCATTCAATTATTCTTCATTTTAAATAGTATCTGGTCAAATCAAATGTATTACATGTTTGGTTTTCTTTTCCTCGTTTTCATCATTCTCGCTATAACTTGCAGCGAAACAACCATTTTGCTTTGCTATTTTCATCTCTGTGCAGAAGATTATCATTGGTGGTGGCGATCATTCCTAACGAGTGGATTCACTGCATTTTATCTATTTCTTTACTGCATACACTTTTTTATGACCAAATTAACAATTACAGGCACTGTTTCAACCATTCTGTACTTTGGGTATACTTTAATCATGGTTTTCCTATTTTTCTTGTTGACTGGAACAATCGGTTTCTTTGCAAGCTTCTGGTTTGTGCGAAAAATTTATAGCGTTGTGAAGGTTGACTAATTTATCCTTTTTCTTTACTATGGTATTAAAACCGATAACAATCATGATAATTTATATAAACTGTGTAAAGCTCCCTTATTTTCTATCTCTTGTCTCTAAATCATGTAGAAATGGGGCAAAATTAGTTGTAATCGATTAATACATAAATAAAAAATTAATCAAAATACACGATTTATTTATTTGTTAAAAAATTGACTCGTATTTATTTCAATTGAGAATCGCGACAAATAGAGGGTGATGGTAGTGGGGGTTGAAGTATTTTTATTATATTGTGCTAATCGCAATTTTGATTTTGATGATACCCAAGAAGAATTTGGTTGGAAACTAGTTCATGTTCGTATGTTTGGGAACTCCAATAGGCTATGTTTCTGCTCGTCCGTGTACGAGTTTCGGTGGTAACAGATGGAAACTGAATGTACTTTTGACATCTCTTCTTTGTCCTAGAATGGTAATCTCTGATGGTGGTGGGGTTTGAAGCATTCATATATAACTTTAGCATGCTATCCCTTTGATAGCCTTTCATTTCATAACTATCGAAAGTTTGCTTTTAGGTGATAGCGATTATATTTTATATCATAATGAAATATTATATGATTCGTGATCATACATAAAAGTGTTAGCATTGTATTAGGTTGTCAGATCTGGTAGATTCATGAAGATAAATGATTATTCAAGCTCAAATCTATACATGCATAAGAAGATATTCGTTATTAGCCCATTGTAAAACCTAAGATCGGTCAAAGAATGTTCGTAAGAAAACATAAAGTTTGTCAAGTTAAAATGAATCCTAAAAGAATTGACTGAAATGGTTGCTACTAAAAAGCTACAATTATCACATTAATGCACATATTGAGCCAAAAAACGAATAAAATTTATTTCTTTCGAATTTAGACTCAGTTAGTTTGTAGGGACATAAAAATTGAGTCCATTGGTGCTAATAAATAATTCATCTGAGGAACAGTTACCAAGAAAAGCGATTCAAAGTTAGAACTTCGATCGCCTTTTATTAAGCTATTCAAGTGGCTTTTTTCATGAAACTCATTTTGAAACTTAAACTTTTGATGATCAACCAGAATATGTAAACATTTTGACAAATAGGACTTTTCTTTGTCTGTAAAATAGAATAATTCGATTTTTAGTTAAATCGACTTCATTCTATGACCATGAGAATTAGCGATTTGAAACTTATTATAAGACCATAAAAGTTGTCCTTTAACATTATGAATTGAATACGGCTATCAAATTATCAACGGTTCTCTTGATCTTGGCCATTGACGATAAAACTTTGAACCTCGATATTTAGCGAATGGCATTATCTAAAACCGTGTTTCTTTCATCAATTTATCTCTTTACTAATTAAAAATGCAATACTGTTTAATTGCTTTGCATTAGCGCATTTAAGTCATATTGTTTGGCCTTTGAATGAACTATCAACAACTGATTTAACAAGACAAACACTTTTAAACTCATTTCTTGGTATATAAACCAATTTTCTGGTTTAACTTATAACTGAAAAACAAAAGATAATGCTAGAGACTCGAACGTTTAAGGCAAGGGTTGAGACTGAAATAGGTTTGTAGGGACATAAAAATTGAGTCCATTGGTGCTAATAAATAGGTCATCTGATGGACAGTTACCGAGAAAATCGCGTGTAAAGCTAAAACTTCGATCGCATTTTGCGCAATTATGGAAGTAGCTTTTTTCATGAAACTTATTTTACTGGTGTGGCTTTTGACCATCTACCAGAAAATGTATTCATTTTAAGAAATATAATTTTTCTTTGTCTGTAAAATAGAATAGTTCGATTTTTAGTTTTACCGATCTCATTCTATGACCATAAGAATAAGCGAATTGAAACTTATTATAAGACCATAAATATTGTCCCTTAACATCATGGATTAAATAAGTTTATCAAATATCCAACGGTTCTCTTGGTTTTGGTCATTTGTCTTAGAACTTTGTGACTCAATATTTCGAGAATGGCCACATTTACAATAATGATTCTTTCACCAATTTAATTCTTACGAATCAATTAATCAAATCAATCTAATAACTTTTTTATTCTTGAATTCGAGTCATGATTCTTGGGTTTTAAATGATCTATCAACCACTTGTTTAACAAAACAAACTCATCTAAACACATATCTTGGTAAATAAACCAATTTTCTGGTTAATCTTACAACTAAAATGCAAAAAGTAATGCTAGAGACGCAAACGTTTAATTTAAGGGTTGCCATTGTTGTAGGTTTGTAGGGACATAAAAACTGAGTCTATTGGTGCTAATAAATAATAAATCTGATGGACAGTTACCGATAAAATCGAGTTGAAAGCTGAAACTCCGACCTCTTTTTATTGAGTTATGGAAGCAGCTTTTTTCATGAAACTAATTTTGAGTATCAAACTTTTAATGATCTACCAGAACATCGTTTCATTTTAAGAAATAAAACTTTTATTTTTCTTTAAAATAGATTAGTTCGATTTTTAGTTAAATCGACTTCATTCTATGACCATAAAAGTTAGCGAGTTGAAGCTTATTATAAGATCATAAAAGTTGTCTCTTTACATCATGGTCTGAATAATTTTGCTCATTTAACAGCAGTTCTCCTGGCAACAGGCCATTAGTCTTAAAACTCTGCGACTCAATATTTTGAAAATGATTCCATTCAGAATCATCATTCTTGGTTCAAACATTAGATTGCATTATGGGCTATAATATATTAAAATATTAAACCATGCAAGAACATACGAAAAAAGTTATAGCATTGGATTACTAATGTTGTCAGATTTGTGACTTTATTTATAAAGTTGAATGGATACCAAACACAAAGCTTATATTTTAGAAGGATATTTATTCTTAAATGAATTGACTCAGATTTTATTTGGTATTCAATCATATCATGTTATAAGCCATAATAAATTAATGTTTTTGAAATGAACGATGGTTGTATGGAAGGCCATTGTCGAAATATTGAGTCGAAAAGTTTTAAGACAAATGGCCAAAATCAAGTGAATGGTTGATAGATCGATCCAAGTATTTAATCCTTAATGTGAAGCGACAATTTTTATGGACTAATAATAAGTTTCTGCTCGCTAACCCTTATGGTCAAAGAAAGCGATCGGTTTAACTTAAATACAAACTTGATCTGTTTTACAGAAACAGAAACCGTTTTTTCTCAGAATACATTAATTTTCGGGTTGTTAAGCAAAAGTTAGATCTTCAAAATTAGTTTCATGAAAAAAGCTACTTCCATAGCTCAATAAAATGCGATCGAAAATTCAACTTAGACTTAGATTTTCTCGGTAAATAACCATCAGATGAATTATTTATTAGCACCAATGGACTCAAAAACCAACTGAGTTAAAATTCGAAAGAAGTTCGAGTTGTAAGATTAACCAGAAAATTGGTTTATTTACCAAGATATGTGTTTAGATGAGTTTGTTTTGTTAAATAAAAGGTTGATAGTTCATTTAAAACCCAAGAATCATGACTCGAATTCAAGAATAAAAAAGTTATTAGATTGATTTGATTAATTGATTAGTAAGAATTAAATTGGTGAAAGAATCATTATTGTAAATGTGGCCATTCTCGAAATATTGAGTCACAAAGTTCTAAGACAAATGACCAAAACCAAGAGAACCGTTGGATATTTGATAAACTTATTTAATCCATGATGTTAAGGGACAATATTTATGGTCTTATAATAAGTTTCAATTCGCTTATTCTTATGGTCATAGAATGAGATCGGTAAAACTAAAAATCGAACTATTCTATTTTACAGACAAAGAAAAATTATATTTCTTAAAATGAATACATTTTCTGGTAGATGGTCAAAAGCCACACCAGTAAAATAAGTTTCATGAAAAAAGCTACTTCCATAATTGCGCAAAATGCGATCGAAGTTTTAGCTTTCAACTCGATTTTCTCGGTAACTGTTCATCAGATGAACTATTTATTAGCCCCAATGGACTCAATTTTTATGTCCCTACAAACCTACAACAATCGCAAACCTTAAATGGAAATGTTTGAGTCTCTAGCTTTACTTTTTGTTTTTCAGTTATAAGTTTAACCAGAAAATTGGTTTATATATACCAAGAAATCAATGCGTTCATTTAAAGGCCAAATAATCTGACTCGAATTCGCTAATGTAAAGCACTTAAATAGTATTGCATTATTAATTAGTAAAGAGATAAATTGATGAAGAAGCATGGTTTCAGGTAATGCCATTCTCTAAGTATCGAGGTTCAAAGTTTTATCGTCAATGGCCAAGATCAAGAGAACCGTTGATAATTTGATAGCCGTATTCAATTCATAATGTTAAAGGACAACTTCTATGGTCTTATAATAAGTTTCAAATCGCTAATTCTTATGGTCATAGAATTAAGTCGGTTTAGCTAAAAATCGAACTATTCTGTTTTACAGACAAAGAAAAGTCCTATTTGTCAAAATGTTTACATATTCTGGTTCATCATCTAAAGTTAAATCTTCAAAATGAGTTTCATGAAAAAAGCCACTTGAATAGCTTAATAAAAGGCGATCGAAGTTCTAACTTTCAACTCGCTTTTCTTGGTAACTGTTCCTCAGATGAATTATTTATTAGCACCAATGGATGTACTTATTTTTTATTTATGTATTAATATTTATCGATTACAATTAATTTTGCCCCATTTCTACATGATTTAGAGACAAGAGATAGAAAATAAGGGAACTTTACACAGTTTAAATAAATTATCATGATTGCTATCGGTTTTAATACCATGGTAAAGAATATTTTAGAATAAGTTGCTTTGTTCAATGGTCATTACAATAAACTATTACAGTTCAATCAGATTGTTCCATTAGGAGCGCGAAAATTCACCGAAGATGCTTGACAATGCTAATCCAAGAGTTAAGGCAATAGTAGCCAATGATGAAACAAAACTTGGTTTTATGAAGGCTAAACCAGCAAAAGTGAACCCAACATCATAACGATCAATCCTTCGAAGGAATAAATTTATCTAGAAAACAATAAAATTAATCAGAAAAAATTTTATCCATTTTTCTAGAATTGAATTTAAACCTAAGTTTAGATTGGAGTTTTCGGTCAACATGAAGAAGGGTTGTTACTACACATTTATGCACAAATTGACGGGTAAAAATGGATTTCTTTCAAATTGTTACTCTGTTGG